AAAAAATAGAGTTTTGTAGGTAAAATGCCAAAAAGATAGAGTCAAACTTCAGTTTTCCAAATAAATAGAGTTTTATGAAAGGCTGAAGTGGACATGGAAATTTGTTGCGAAATGACCCAACTGCCCGTTCTTTCTTTATGCTTTCCCATCTCTCTTCGTATCTCTTTGTGAAGAGATTTCAAAACTTCCATACTTTCCCCACCTTATTTTCACTTTTTTCCTTTCCTTTTCATGATAAAATGTTGTAGCCAAAACCCTTAGGAACAATTTGCCGGTAGATGCTTGGAAGGTGTAATTTTAATGTTATTTTAGAGTTTAAGAATATGTTTGGCAAGGATAAGATTTCTTCTGCACTTATGATGGGAACAAATTTCTGCTTTTGCAGAGAAGAATTTGCAATCTTTCTTAAGCTTCAATTGGAGGCAAAACAAGCTCTAGAAGAATTTACAATCCTTCTTAAGCTTCAATTGGAGGCAACTGCCTTTTCCCTCTCTTCAATAGCGGTGAAGATGGGCTCATAACTGCGACATAGCGATGAAGATGAGCTCATAACTGCGACGGCGAGCTTTGAATTGGCGATGAAGCGGATTTAATGAATAAGCACGAACCAGCAACGATGAACTGAGTCAAGCTCATCTTCTAACTAAATTTTTGTATGCCTCTCTCTTTATATATATATATATATATATAGACACATATACACACATATGTATATATATATATGCAGATTGCAGAGGGGTCTAAACTGATGTTCATGTTTCATGATAGTATTGAAGTTGGACTCTGTGCTTTGATCAATCTCTATCTCAGGCTCTGGGAATTCTGAAGGTTTATCCATTTACACATGTGGTGGTGTGGTGGGACAATTGATGAGTTAGTACTACTTATAGTTATACTTGAATTTTGAAAATAAAAACTTGAGATGGGCTCATTTTAAACTTGAGATGGCAATGATGGGTGTGGTCGCATAACCTTCTTGCTACCGGTGTTGATGAGGGTATTGGGCGCATCAACCCCAAAAGAGCAGGCAATCACAAAAAGATATGAAGAGAGAGAAAGGGCAGTTAGAAAGCATGAAGAAAGAGAAAGGGCAATTGGGTCATTTCGCAACAAATTTCCATGTCCAAGTCAACCTTTCATAAAACTCTATTTATTTGAAAAATTGAAATTTGATTCCATCTTTTTGGCCTTTTACCTACAAAACTCTATTTTTTTAGAATTATCCCAATATAGAACTCTATACTGGTTACAGGTACAGTATAAACAGCTATCACTGCAAATGCAAGAGCAAATAGCAGCCAAATGAACTGCTTTTGGACAAACTAGAAAAAGCCATGAAGATATATTTTTCTCCAACCAAACTTAAATCTCCCACCAAGGCCATCATCACATTTAGGGCTCTCATGCTTTTCCGCTCCCAAGCCCAAGAAAAGGTGGCGATTAAGCATACAGCCAGCAACATCTAAGGCTCTTTCATACCCAGACACCATGAATGCTAACACTTGAGCTTGGCGAAGGGAATCCACTAATATCTTTTTTCATTTCTTTTTTTGATAAGTAAAAGGAATCCCTTAGTATTGATAACTCTCCCCGCATTACCAACATGAATGCCAATTTTTTTTTTTTTTAATTATCCTACAAGATTCATAACCTAAACTTGTTAAGAATTCCTACAGAATGAACGGAGGCCATAGGTAATTTTATGTCGTCAAAAGAAGGCTTTGTAATATAATTGTTCACTGGAAACTTTCAGTATTCCAATATGAGTCCAATAATAGTTTGATAACATACCGCAGAAAGAAGTTGCCCCGACTTTATATCCCAAAGTCTCAAATAGCTATCCAGTCCTGGAGAAAAAAGCAAGTTCTTCACTTTAGTAGTTGCAAGACAAATTTTTTATATTTTTTTAGGTAAAGTACAATAAACCCCCCTCAAGTATACCCCAATAAGCACAAAACCCTCTTGAATTTCTAAAGTAGCATTTAACCCCCCTCAACTTAGGGGTTTGGTGGCAATTTACCCGATCCGACCGCTGGCTAATTTTTTAGCCGTTAAATTGAGTCCCTCAGTACCATATTTAAATTAAATAACCATTCAACCCTTGTCACAGAAAAATAGCATACTACCCTTATATTACAAGATTGTTACCCATTCAACCCAAAATCCCTAATTCCTCTCTATCCTCTTCACCCAATCTTCTCTCTCTTTTCTATCTCCATTGAAGACCAAAATGAAGAGCTTCATCTTTACACCATGAACTTCGGTGACAGCCTTGATTGGAACACCACGGCGATTTTTGCGTCGCTGGGAAAAAATATGACCAGGTTGTTTTTGTGACCTGGTTCTCGCCGTGGATGGTAGCGACCTTTGGGTTGCTACATGTTGGAGAATGGGGTTGCTACTGTAGTGACCCAGCAAGCTATGGAGGATAGCGACTGTCACCGTCTATGGGATATACCAGGTCGTCGCCGGAGTCCTGGTTGAAGGAGAATAAAGTAGCAGCCGACGTGATCTAAGATAAAAGGTTCGTTGCTAAAACGAGACGATCGTAACCTAAGAATTTCAGCGACCCAAATCAGAAAAGGTTTAGAACAATGACCGACCGTCCGGTGAAGTTCAGTCCAGACCCGAGAGTTTCAGTTCAGAACGGGAACATCATAGCTCAATCCTGTGAGTTACAATACAGACCCAACCCCTAAATTGAAATTTGAATTTCGATTTCTTGAATTTCATCAAAACCCAATTGCAAAACTCCATTAATATCTGTGTGGCTGATTACCAAGCAAACCCATTCGAAAAATTCATAACCCCATTATCGCCAAACACATATAATTAACACAACCTTAATTGAAACCATTGCCGCTACAACAACCACGCCGGCGAGTCTCGCCATCGAAACACCATAACAACATTCTCACAGCCATCGCCATCACCGTTGATCAGGCCTTTTATCATAGTTGGTTAAGCCTTTCCCGTTATCGCCACTGAACTAATTCTTACTGTGGCCATCCAAATCTGTCACTGTCATATTCCTCGCCAACTCTTTGCTATCGTCGGATTTGTTGGTTGTCACCGCGGCTTCACCTTCCTTAATCTGCTAGAGAGAACTTGGTTGGGTTGACCCTTCTATTTCACAAATTTTCACTCTCTGTGTAAATATAACATATATATATGGCTTGTATTGTATAATGCTAACTGATTTTAAGTTACATGAGGTGTCACGAAATAATTGGTTATTAAATTTAGGGTAAAATGCAAAAAAAATCCCTGAACTATGGCAAATTGCAACTAACCCCCTGAACTACAAAAAAACCGCCCCTGAACTATGAATTTGTTGCTTTTTAGTCCATTCCGGCGACTGACTTAACCGAAAAAATAAAAAGTCTAATTTACCCTTACCGAAAAAATAAAAAGTCTAATTTGCCCTTATTGACCACCATCCATGCTCTCTTTGAGGCTTGATTTGGGGAAGCCAAATATACATACACATAGTGAGAGAATGTTGAGAGGGAGATTAGGAGATTCGGAATTGGAATTGCATAAAGAAATCTGTGAAACCCAAATCGTCGCCGAGAATGTTGAGAGGGAGATTCGGGCTTTGGTGGTGGACTTTGAGATCGATCACATCTTGAAACCCAAATCGTCACTACTGTTTATATATATATATATATATTGGTTTATGATTTTGAACTCTTTTGGTGATTGAACAAGAAAATCAGATTGGAGATTGAAGAGAGACACTGTTGATTTCGGCGATTGGAGAAAGAATTGTGAAGAAAATGAGATCCACAGCCAACTCTCTCCGCAGCAATCTGGAGCAGGTCCTAGCTCACGTTAGCGAAGAGGCGTTGATTATGGTGGCGGAGGAGGAGGAGGAGGAGAAGGTAAGGTGGCGAATGATGCGTAGTCAACGCGTTAGATCCACCGGGTCGGGATGAGTTACCGAGCGAGTCGTAACTCAGTGGCAACTCAAAACCCAAATCATCCTCGTTGTCAACGGGATCTCGCTGCCGTCGTTTCTTGCGCCTCCCTCGCCACCGTCTCTTGAGCCGACGTACTCGTCGATGTTGGTGGTGGTGTGTATAATATATATATATATATATATATGTGTGTGTGTGTGTGTGTGTGTCTATATGTATAATTGTCCAATTCATCTTCGATCAAGCACGATACACCGGTAACGGCACCAAATGATATATGTGTGTGTTTGTTTGTGTATATTATATGTGTGAGGTGGCGGTAATGGTAGTGGCGGAAGTGGGGTGGTGGCAGTGGGTTTGTGGGGTATCGATTGGGTTTCACGGTGTTGATTTTAGGAGAGAAGGTTAGGCCATGGTTGGTGATGGTGGTGGCAGGATTGGGGTGGTGATAGTTGTACTCGTTCGATTAGGTTTGACGGTTGTTATTGGTGGTGGTCGCAGACGGTGGTGGTGGTGGAAGGGCATTATTGTCCAAAAAATTTAATTTCTCTGTCGCGTGAATCTCACGTGCTCATTTTTAGACTTCCGGTAGCTAGAGGGGGTGATCTGCAACTTTTTTGCATAGTTCAAGAGGTTTCTTGCATTTTTGGTAGTTTAGGGGGTTAGTTACAGATTTTCACATATTTCAGGGGGGTTTTTTGCATTTAACCCTTAAATTTATTAAGTTGCTAAAGGAAAACGGTGACGTTTTTATTGTGAAGTGGCACCTTTTTTTTGAGGGGTAAAATAGACTTTTTCAATTTCCAGTGATAGGAGATGACCGAAAAAACAACCAAGACCATAGTTAATGGGAGTTATTTGTGGTTGAGAGGGGTTAGTTGCACTTAGGGTATAGTTGAGGAGGGTTTATTGCACTTTACTCTAATTTTTTTAATAAACAAAAACAAAAAATATATGCTTATAATTTGTAAAAGAAATTATGCAAATATCTAATAATTTGACAATAGATATGTCGAGGTAGTAAGCCTCAAGTCAATTAACCCTCAAACTATCTGTTTCAAACAAGAATACAATAGAAGAAAGTTAATAGGTGATACAAGGTTATATATTGTACTTAGAACTATTATGCAACTGTCTGGATCAACAGATGAAAAGATGTCTCCTTAAGTTTGCTTCTTCATAAAGATTATTCGACTTACAACACAATACAAGCACCAGAGACCCAAATTAAAATCTACATCATGTCCGTAAACAGAGAAAACAGAATGTGTTAATTACGTGATGAGTGTGTAGAATACCCACCGCATGAGGCTATCACTGGGTATTCTGGACGCCTGGCTATGGATCTTATACATCCAGAACATTCCCCCAAAAAGCATCCTAATAGTTTCCCTGCAACACCCATAGATAAGAGTCATGAACAGTAAATCTTAGCAATTTACCAAATATATAAAGGGTAATTTACAGTTACCTCCCCTATAGATAGCTCAAATTACGCCCGCATCCCATCTAGATTGGATAATTTCGCTTACCTCCCTTAATTTAAAAACTTTGTAACAAATACACCCCTCCGGTAAGATTCCGGCACAGTCAACGCTGACATCATTACTATCCCACCCTCAAAATGACCAAACTACCCTTGAAATGTCTGTGAAATGTCTTCTTTAAGTAGGCTCATAGTGTGTTTGTAACCCCTGAATTGTGTAAATTCAGGGGTAACAAACACACTATGAGCCTACTTAAACAATTCAGGGGTAACAAACACACTATGAGCCTCTTTAAAGAAGACATTTCACAGACATTTCAGGGGTAGTTTGGTCATTTTAAGGGTGGGATAATTTAATTATGAGAGATTGGACCATTGTGTTGGGTAAGATCTTAACCAAGATAATTTGAGAAGGAGAAATCAGGTGGTGGTCAATCGATGTTACATGTGCCTTTGTGATGGGGAGACAATGGATCATCTTCTTTTCCACTGTTCCATGGCTAAGGATTGTTGGGCTTTGATGCTTGGTTTGTTTGGGATCCATTAGGTCATGCCTTGTTCCACTAGAGGGCTGGTTGAGGCTTGGAGAAGATGTTCTGTGGGGGCCCATATTAGTGATGCTTGGAGGGCTACACCTCTTTGTGTGTGGTGGTGCATTTGGCTTGAGAAGAATAGGAGATATTTTGATGGCAAAGAGAGGCCTATTTCTTTTCTTAAGTTTTCTATTATTTCCACTCTCTTTTGTTGGGTTTTTGGTAGAGTTAGAGGATTTTGTTGTTTTCTTAGCCTCTTTGAAGGCTTAGGCCCATTTTTTGGCCTTGTGTTGTTCACTTGGGATGCATTCCCCTTTTGAGCCCTTTCTACGAATTTCTTACTTATCAAAAAAAAAATATATATATTACAATTACCAAATCACCCCATATCTCATATCCCATATATATATATATATATATATATATATATATATATATGGGTAGTACAGAAAACCCCCTACCATATAAAAAATGTGCAAGAAACACCCCTATTAAATATTATGGGCATATAAATCCCTGTATTATCATAGTTTGGAGCAAATTGCCCCCAATTCTCCAATTTTGTTCAATTTTTCTTCTAAATCCCCAAAATACCCTTAAGAGAATTTTATATTATATATATAACTTTTTATATTTAATTTTTTTTTCTTTTCATCTCTACAATATGTAAGGATGGCAATGGGGCGGAGTTAGGATGGAGTTGGCTAAACCCTACTTCGCCCCATTAAAAAATTCGTAATACCAACTCCGCTCCAACTCCGAGACGGGTTTATAATTGGTATACCATCCCCGCCCCTACTCCAGTAGACAAAATACCAACTCCGCCCCGCATACTCCGTTTAATTGCGGTAAAGTTGAAACTGTTGAATTAATTCCTGGACTTGGGATAGAATACTAAGATCTTGAATCTTTGAAGATTGAATCACGTGCACGATTGTAAAATTTTAGTAAGTAGTGATTTTAGCGAATATTTAGTCAAAATATATTAATGGACACTTAAATTAAATATATACTTTATATATATATATATATATATATATATAATCGGGGTTGGGGCGGGGGTGGGGTGGGGGCATCACTAAATCTGCCCCCACCCCAAACCCGCTTCGGGTTTTCAATTCTTTTACCATATCCGTCCCAAACCCATTTATGGAGCTACCAAATTCGCCCCATTAGGAGCGGAGCAGGGTGGAAACCCAGCGGGTTGGGGGAAATTGCCATCCCTAACAATATAGGTACTATAAACTTATAAAGCACTCAGAGACAGTGACTGAATTAACAGAGACAACAACCCGATTGTTACGCCGGAAAAATTAACAACAAACTAGAAATGAAAAAGAAAAAAAAAATTACCCGACGACCATGGAGTCCGACGATAATGGAACGTATAATGGTAAATCCATGGGTTCAAACAACACAATCGACCACCATGGATTTCGGCGACAAGAGGGGTGTTTGAATGACGAACACGAAATCCATTCCAGCCAGACTGCGTCTTGCATCCATTGATTCTATCTTGCATTAATTGATTTCGTCAGCATCATAAGATAACGTTAAAGGGGCGACCAATAACTCTACTCTTCTCCAAAAACTCGCAAAGGCCCCCAGGACGGATAATGCTTTTCAGATCTGTCCCAAGGTCTTAAAAATTCCGGCCACCAAACACCACCGGTTCATTACTGCTTGTCCCCACCGATTTTCAACCATTAAATCCGGCCACCAAAAACCACTCAAAAAAATACATTTTTTTTTTAAAGAAAAAAATACATATATTTGATAACCCATCAATTCTATATTACAATTAAAATTAGGAGGTAAGATGCAGCATTAATGAATTTGTGATGTTTTCACTTATTTGAAGAAATTTTGTGTGGATTGCGATCAACTCAACAATTGATTCCCCCGTCCTAAAAGGCTATGATTTGATACCTCTGGCAAGGATTTAGGTATAATGTAAAGGAAAATCATTGATGGTTTGGCAGGAGTTTAGATTTGAGTAAATATACATGGCTAAAGTTATTTTTTTTTGAAAAATATAGGGAAGTTTTTTGAACAACAGGGAGCTATCTGCACAAACTATATATATAAAGGGGTTTTTTTTGCACTTAACCCAATATATATATATATATATAGAGAGAGAGAGAGAGAGTTCGGCCGGGTTTGTATACAGTGAAGCTAAGGTCGCAGAAGGAGACGACTTTAGTGAAACCGTGGTGGAATTCTAAACCAGTTTCTGGAAATTGATTAGAATTTGTTTAGGGTTTCGATTGGAGACGTCTCTGCAGGTAATTGATTCGAATTTATTTAGGGTTTTGATTTGAGATGTAGAGCGTATTGGTTAGGGTTTCGATTGGAGACAAAATTGGGTCAACAATTTCACTATGTTGGAGACGAAGATGGAGATTGGAGAAGAGATTGATTTTGATTACACAAATTTGTGTTGTATTTTGCGTTGTCAATCTTATGATTTGGTGGTAGAAAGATAGACCGAGTAGTGGTGGGGGTTGGATAGGTGGGTGGTCTGATCGAGGTGTCACGTGGTGGGTTTTGGCGAAGTGTCGGTGGTGGTGTAATGGGCGGCGGGAGGTGGTAGGGGTTGTTTGGGTGGTCTGATTGATGAATGGATTTAGTAATTTTAATATTGTAAGGCTTAGATTGATAGAGTTAAATTGAGGTGCATCTCTATCTTCTCTATTTCCTCCGACAAGCCACCTTCACCGTCTTCTCCGGCATAATGGACCACATATGGTGTTGTAAAGACAAAACTGGTCCAACGTTGATAAGAGGTTCGACCGTTAGAGATACAAAGGGGTCACCGTCTGCAGTGGATTCACAAAAGGAAGCGGCAGCGAGGGTCACCGAACGGATCACTGATAAGAGTGGGACACAACGGAGGTGTTGGTCGGCGGCTGATGCTACTCAGAAACCTAGTCGCCGACTTCGATAAATTACCTACACACACTCGACCCAGCGGGTTACTCAGGATATCTCTCCCCACTCATTTGTTCACCTGTTGGAGTGCAGGTAGGAAGAAGAACAAGGGCTAACTGTCTACGAGACGAATTCTCACTGAGTTCGACCACCTTCAACTGAGTCAACCTGTCGAAGGAATATTTAGATAAGGACCCAGATAAAACATTGGCATTTCAACTGTTTATGGAAACCCTAGAGTTAGCCGATGATTGAGGATTATGAAGTGCTTTACCAGTTGATAATGCCATGGGTCTAAAGGTAAATTCACAATGTAAGATTTTTTAAATAAAAAATGCATTAAAATAATAAGGATAGAAGAGTAATTTTATTAGTCCGGTCACCAGAAATGAACTCCGATCACAAAGAGGGGAGGTAAGCGGAATTATCCAAACTAGAGGGGATGCGGGCGTAATTTGACATGTTTGTAGGGGGTGGTAACTGTAAATTACCCATATATAAATCTCAGTATGACAGATAGGCTTCACAACCAGGTCCAACACATAATGGTCATGCTTTAAGGTTTCAAACAAACTGATTTCGAATATCTTTTGTAAAAAAAGAAATGAAAAATTGAGCTTAGTAGTACTACCTTACAGGGTTGTGTTCTAGGCATAATGCATATCAGTAGTAGGGTTGACAAATGAGCGGGTTGGATCGGATTTGGGTTGGGTTGAGAATGGACGGGTTAATATGGGTTAAGACCCATATTCAATCCGTTCAGAACGGGTTAAAAATGAACGGGTTGAAAATGAACAGGGTCAACCCGTTATGACCCGTGGATCCATTAATTATTTTTTATTTTTTAATTATTATTATTTTTTATTTTAAAATTTTTTGGAACTAATTTTTCTCTTTTTGGAAAGTCGCCGCCGTGAGGACTAATTTTTTGGAAAGTCGCCGCCGCGTGATCGAACATTAGCTGCTGATTCTGAAGCTGACGGAGATAGTCTTGATTCATCCTCTCAGGCAGCTGGATCTGGTCAAAATAGACAACCTGACTCGCCGGCGGCAAAATTCCATTTACCAGAGAAACATGAAACTGTGCAAAAACGGAAACTCCCTCGCGGCGGCGTCGTATGCCCTCGCCGCCTCCTCCGCCGTGTCGAACGTCCCCAACCATACTTGAGACGCGCCTCCCTAGCTAGGAGAGCCAGCTCACTCACTTGATGAGCAGCACCATTGGGAGCCCAACAAACAGAAACAGCTGTAGAATTAGATCTCTATCTCTCTGATTAAAATTGGAATTTTCATCAAACAGATCACTTACCAATTGAACTTCTCCACCATTCAGAGTTACCGCGAAACTGACCAACAGTCCACAAGCTTCCCAATGCCAATACTCCATTTCAATCCTTTCCAAATCAGATATTTTTCTTGCCTAAAAATTATTAATAATAATAGCCGGATAATAATAAGGGTTGTACAGGACAATCCAGAGTCATGTTACTCCAGTATAACCCTTAATAATATGGATTTTAAATAATATAAAATAAAAAGTTAGGTAAAAAAAATAAAGAATAAACTACGATTTTGGCGTAGTTACAAATAAATTTAAGATTTACATTTTTTTTTCTCCCTTTAATAAGGCAAAACAATAATAATAAATAAAATTTTTGAATTGCTTGTGATAATTTTTAATTATTTTGTATTTTTAAATTATTTTTTTCCGAAAGGTTTTAAATTTTTTTTTATTTTTAAATTTTATTTTTTATTTTTTTAATTATTTAAAATTATTTTTTTAATTTTTTAAAATTATTTTTTCAAAAGTAATTTCTAGAGAGAGAAACTTAGGGAGAGGGGATTGATGAGAGACAAATATAGAGAGAGAGGATTGTGAGAAAGATTTTCAGAGAGATAGATGAGTTGAGTGCAATATAGAATAAATGTGTGTTTATTATGTGATAGGTAAAATATGGGTTGAATATGATTAACCATATTCAACCCATCTTGACCCTCAAACGAAATTTGGTTCACCCATAACCATTAAAAGGCGGACGGATATGGGAGGGATGATGGTTCCGGACTCATTTTGCCACCCTTATGCATATGTGTATGTGCAAATTCACATGGTGATGACAATATTAATCATCCCAGACAAGTTGACAAACCTACCAATGAATTAATTTACTAATTTACTGATAACTTGATAAGGTATTTGAGGATGTATTGAAAGTAGTTGGGGACAAATCAACTACAAATAACCAGAAAAAGCCCGGATGGAGCACAACGTACCCAACTACTTCTGTGAAACAATGGAGAGGTTCTGTGCTATGCACAATCCACAGCTATGGCAACACTTCATTATCCAAAACTTTGAACCAAATAATAATAGAAATAACAATAGGTTTCATTCCAGATCACACTTTAGTATCAGTTATTGAAATAATTTCATATGCGCCCAACAGTAAGATCGCTTTTGAGATTTGAAATCATCATCTGAAACTTTATTTCTCAATTAATAACTTACAACAAAGGTGAATCTTACCATTATGCAATTTATATCAAACCTTTTTTCCAGCAGGCTTCTTCAAACAGTTTGCTTATAAAATTTATGGAAGTCCAAGAGAAACCTGCTTCTACCATGAAGCAATAATATTTCAAATTCTAAAAGCAAGGTTTATTTATAAATTCAATGCTAAATGAACAGCGAGAGATGCTGTTTGCCTTCAGGAGCTTAAGATGGAAGTGATATCTATGGAGGTGAGAAAATCTTCTAGGATCAAGGTATGTTGAACAGGTTGCTCTTGATTAATATCAAGTTATCAACATTGGGTACTCTTTATTTGTGGGACAATAGGGTGGATCAGAAAACTGATGAATGGAGAAGGTTCTATTTGTTTCCAATCATATTACAAATTACAAACTCAAAGGATGTTCATTTGGTCCTTCATGGGTGTATATGGACCGGTTGAGGATGCCCACATGGGTGAGCTTTGGGATGATCTTATGGAAGTAAAAAAAGCGATGGGAGAAGCCTTGGTGTATGGGGATACTTCAACATTATTAAGTATCCTTGTTAAAGGCTATTGTATTAAAAAATCATGAGTGCTAATTTAGGGGCGAAAGAAATTGTGAGTGCCATGCAAGATTTTGTAGATTTTATTCCTTTAAAGGGAACAACATGCACCTGGAGCAGTAGGCAAAAGTCTCCGACCATGTCTCATTTGGACCAATTTACTCAATCTCTGAAGGCAGTAGTCTCCTTTTTTTTATTTTTCTTTTTTTGAATACCCACATGTACAAACAGAAAAAATGCATAGAAAATCAAGTTCTTGGAATTATGAGTTTGCGAAACTGTTAATAGCTGTTTGTACATCAACAGAAGCAAGGTCACCCAATCCATTTCCTATAAATATTGTATGACCATCTAGATCTTCAGTGACTGCTTTAATTGGGGTCTCGCAAAAATCAAATGACATAACTGGCCTTCTCTAAGCAAAAATATCATAGAGGCGAATCTGTAGAAGAATATAGGGAATACAAGTTGCCAAGGCGCCAAGCGGCCGGTAAAACCATCATTTGGGTAAAAGAAAGTTTTTATCGTGGACCTAAAGTAACTAACTTCCCTCAACATATTGTTTAATTAGTTTATTTTATAATCGGTTCCCTATATATTTGTGGATCACTAACAAATTGTTCAACAAACAATTCGCTGAGGCTTCTAACCTCTGACCAATCAAGAGTAAGGGATATGCAATACTAGCTGTGTGTGTGTGTTGCACACGAGCGTGAGAGAGAGAGTGTGTGTAATGCTTTTGCCTCAAGTCAAATCAAGTCAAGCACGTCAGAAATCCTAATGATCAGGCTGCGTGTGGGTGTGAGAGAGAGAATGTAATGCTTTAGCCTTAAGTCAAACACATCAGAAATCCTAATAATCAGGACATCATTGATTTAAAGATTTAAAACTTCTCATCAACTTTATTAAAGACATGCCTACTCACTGATCTCCAAAGAGGAGAACTACATCCTTCGTGAAATTATAAGTTCATAACGACTAAAAGCTTAGCTCTAGTGGTATCTCTTCTACTTTTCAAGCGAAAGTTTGAGGTTCAACTCCCCATAGGAGTCAATTTTAAACATGTGAGTCTCTTACCCAGGGGAAAAAAAAAATACGAGTTCCTGAAGTATTGGGCATCAATGATACAGAGACATTATGTTCCCAGTCCTCGTATTGAGAGATGAAAACGAATTCCAGAAAAATCACTCCACTTAACTATCGGAAAAGATTATCTGACTTCCATGTCGCCTTCTAAAATTTCATACTTCATCTGAATAGAATTTTTTTATTATTATTATAAATAGCATACAGAAATACATAGAAATATGAACACACAAATACATAAATCAGAAAATTCATAATGATGCAACATTTGGCAAATCAGGACCACTAGTCGATATTCTAGGTAATCCCATTCTTGATCACAATTTATGATCAATTATGAACAAGCAGGTGAAGAACAGAGTGGGAAACCAAAATTCTAATCAGCCCAATAGAACATATTTGTAAAGGTGAATTATTTGCTTGTTTATTAAAACTACCCCCACAATTCTAATCAACCCAGTAGAACAAATATGCACTGGAAAATATTTACTTTATTGGTCATTGTAACATTCCAAAACAATTACCTTCTTTGGACAGGGGTTTCACCCAACATAAGAGAGGAGTTAGCTGTCACAAGTTACCTGGTGGGAATTGGTGCAAGCCACAAATTTGCGATGATCATCTTTACTTTAGAATGTTGCAGATGTAAACCAAGTTGGGGTAAATATACCAATATTGTTTTAGCAGTCTGTACAGAGAAAATACAACAATGCAGAGTCTTGGGTCAAATGGTGATGAAGATTAAGCATTTCTTGATTTTAAAATGCATAAGGATGGTCACGGAAGCTTACAGATTTTGCAGTCCACATCTTAGTACATTTGTCAAGATCCCACACATTAACTTCAACTCCCTTCCTGGGTGGGTTGGAGAGCAAGGAATAATCATTCCTCTCGTATCACTTTGTAAACAACCAACAAGCTTATAATATAGAGTTATGAAACATATAGAAACTCACCCTCCAAATAATGCATAGTTTTCATTTCCATCCACTTTCATACATTGAATATCACCGGAGGCACATACATTCCAGATTGTTGAAGAACCATTAGTGGTTGAATCCGCTGGTGATTTGTGAACGCCAATGGACCTCACACTTGCAAGTCCTTCTGTTGTACATGTAAGCAAGGTGCATGACCTAATTCAAGACAAAAAAACAAATGGATGGAGAAGATCTCAAATCTTCACCCTGCATTATGAATACATTGTGGTGGCTCACAAAATAAACATACATATATAAAATATAACCTAAGAAGAAATCACCCAAACATACATGAGAAAATACAGAAAGAAGGAGCAGCCTTGACTACGAAATCCAAATTGCTAGTGGTCCAAGAATACATAGATCTATTGGCATCCGCATGGAAGTCGGAAAAGGCATTTAGACCAATGACAGATATAAACTCAATAAACATTAAAATCTAGGAGACCATGCAATCAAAGTTACATTGTCACAAGCATGCATACAGCAAATGAGCAGAACACCCTAAAAAGCAAAAGAGAGAATCATTGGGCATTAAGATACCAAAAGTGAAGTCCAGAAAAAACCTGGATGACAACTCCGATTTCTGTTTCCAATGACACCATCATCTCCAGGCCTACTGTCGGCAGTTCCAGCGTTGGAAATTGAAACACGAAGATCACTGTTAATAGGGCTAAGCATACTAAATATTATACACAAAGTATCAATAGGAGGAACTACTAAACATAAATCTCACATAATAACTAAGAATCAAATGTGATCTAAGTTTTCATACTTTCGAGAAGGAACTCACCAAACCACTTTTTCTTGCAACAGCTAACAACTGCAACAAATGAAAAAGGTCAAAATTCCAATACATCAATATTTTAGTGGTCAACATATTGTCATCAACTAGAGAATCAAAATTATCATGCCAAACAAGAGAAAAAAGTGAGATCAAAGCACATCATGGAAATGCATTCCCTTATCCTCAAAGATTAATTTACTTAACAGATAAACGTCATTTTGTGACACCGGTATACACCAAGTACACTACTGCCTTGCCTAGTTGATCCACTTGGCATCTGCACTGATTGTTAGGTGCACCCAAGTGGCTAAATTTTTGTAAACAATATAAAGATATAAATACGATTATTTTAATCTTCAACAATAATCTATTCTATGTTATGAAAACAATTCTGTTATAAATTTTGATGTACTAAAATCCCGTCCTAAGTAAGGAGCTTAAAGTACTAAAGTCTCCAGCGATTATGAAGTTTAGATAGATAAAAAGAGAGAGGATGAATGGCAGTTCAAACTTTACTCTTTTTTTTAAAGGTAGATATTGCAATTTATTCGCTTGAAGATTATGCACGAAATCTCATACTAAGTAGGAGCTTAAAGTACTAAGTCTACAGCAATTATGAAGTTTTTTTTCCACTGAATGCAAGATGGCTTACATATTTCTATGTTACATAATTTATGTATTAAAATTACCGTTCTATAAAATTAGTTGACATAGGAAATCTGAATTCACAATCTTTTTCATTTAAATGGCTGTATTCATCTTATGAGACGATCCAAAAAAGGTCATCGTACCATTGCTGAATGTGTTGACGTATCTTGAATTGAAAAATCTTCCATATGAATGATTGACAGAATTTTTTAATTCCAACAGACAAATTGTACATTTTATCAAAATATGCAATCTTTAACTAAAAATCTACCCTATAGCAGCGCAATGCTAAATGTATAATTTGGATTCAAATTGGTAATCTGAATTCACATTTTCTTTCATTCAAATAATTGAATTCGGCTATTTCCGCTTATTTTAATCTGCAATCTTTTAAGTAGTTCTAAAATTCTTGTTCCTAAAAATAGTAACTTTATGAGATGGTCCAAAAGAAGTCACCCGTAGAGTGTCGTCTGAAACTTGCCCCAACTTAAATTTTCTTTTCTTTTTTCCTTTTCTTTTTTCATCCCCTGTGGGCATCAAATACACCATTTAATCGGTCGGACCTTAAATTTTTTTTTTTTTTTTTTTTTTTTTTCCATTTTATTGGATCTTTTCAGAATCTCATCTGTTTGTTAAAAAGGAAAAATATCACTTACCTCCTTTAAAATTAGACCTAATTACAGTCACCATCTTTAAAGTTTCAAAAATTACACGACCTCCATTCAATGTGGTCGGAAACAAGTTTCGATAACAATTTAAGTTAAATGACTAAAATACCCTCCTTATTATAATAATTTTATTGATTAATTAATTCTCTAATAAAGTAACAATTAAACTACTGCAAATGGGGACTATGAAAAACTGAACTAGCCACCATAATTGAAACCATAGTCGGCGAATTACACCACCACGACAACCGCCAGTCCCAACTCCGCCACCATCACAACTACCACCAGTCCCAACTCAGTCGCCGCCGCCAACACCACCGTACACGGTGATCACGCACTGGCACCGTCAGAGGCTATTTCGAAGCCTCAGACCGTCTCATTTGTCGCCGGAAACATCTGAAACGTCTATTCCGTGTCTCTCCGTCCGCCGCTTCATCAGCGTCCACACCGCTGCCACGAAACAGAGTCCACCACCATAACAGAGACCCATCTCATCTTTCTTCATTTTATCTTCTATTTTGGGCTAATACACCACACGCTCTCACGCGCCACCCATCTTAGCCCACACGCCTGTTCCTCCGGTCATTTGCCGGATCAACAGCACCACTCACTTTGTATCAGTGACCATATCTTTGTCGCACCGCGACTCATTGTTGTCACATTTTTTTTCACTATCACTGGAATCCACCACAACTATATTTGTTGTTATTGCCCGATTGCAGAAACATGTTGGGCACCTACATAATCCCAGCCAGATTCATCAGAATCAGAGTCAACGTCTCTGATCTGATCTCCTACAACATCCGTTGTTTCATAATTTCTGAAGCCCTCTCTTTCAAATTCGTTGTCTGAGAAAGAAAATAGAGAGGGGGTGTGAAATCAAAAGCTGACTTCATGCATCATCTGCAGCATCGGCATACTCCTCCGCAGGTCGCTCCAGGTCAATGTCCATGTGATCGGTAGCCGGACCGACCGGTGAGTCGTCCGCTGCGATATCTGCTGCTGCTGGAGGTGCCGGCTGTGCATGGGCTGCCTCCTCCTCCTCTAGGTCAGCTGCTGCCTCTACAGCTGGCTCCTGAAGACTCCGAATAAGAGCATTGTAGCTCTTATTCCAGTCGCTCCTCCTATAGAAGTTGGACCATGCAAGGGGCTCCTCATCTGGGGGCACTCTGCAGCGCTGGTCAAGAAGGATCAGCGTGATGAAGTGTCCGAAGGGCAGGAACTTGGACCGCTTAGGGTCCTTCCTGGAAATGAAAGAATCATACAGTAACCTCATCACGCTCCAGATGAGGACTAGGATAGATACCCAGCAGCCCGTGTAAAAAGCGTAAAGAGCTGTCAAGTAGTCACGACGCCTCTTGATCTTGTGGCCCGCCATGTAAATGTTCTGGAAAAGAACTGTGTCGATGAACCAGAGGTCGTCAGGCAAGAAGGTCCTGGTGGCGAATGTCTGACCACCGGCATGATGGCCTGTCAAGGAGACAGCCATGTCAGAAAATGAAGGCCTATGCAGCCTCGGGTATGTCTCAGCAAGCTCAGGTGGACACCGGTGTGGGCACCGGCAAGCACGGGCCAGAGTGTCAACTGTGATGACAATCTCGTGGCCGTCCAGTGTAGTGATCATCTCTGCGGTAGATCGTGGCGAGGGTCGGAGATGCTGAAAGAATAACCGCACCAGTCGCGGGTATATAAGGCCGGTGACTGGGGCAAAGATGGCTGAGAGGCCCCGCTGCATGATATCCTAATAGCCAGACCGGGTCAGGATAGACTCGGAGAAGTACGCAGTATCGAAGTACGACTCCTGAGCCATGGTCATAGCTGCATATCTCGGCAGCAACTAGTCATGGCGCTGAGCCGGTAGAGGTGGCTGCGGTGATGTCATGGCGGCTGCATCTGCCTGATGGCGCACAGGAGAAGGTGATGGTGTGAAGGCTGGAGGAGCCTGGGATGTAGATGGCATGTGGTCAGCTCCCTCCTCAGCCTCGTGGGATGGGGACTGAGGGGGAGTAGCCTGTACTGGCTCCGCCTGAGCATGAGATGGCTCTGCAACCATCTCTATCCTGGGCCGCATATGTCTGCGGGGTCGCTGTGGCCCCGAAGATCTCCTGGCTGTACTCTTGTACCGTGGAGGCATGATCTGTAAAAAGACAAGAAAATTTCAATATAAGTCAGTGCCAGATATATAAGAATTTAAGTGCATAATAGAAACATGTATGTCAAATAAGATAGACAAAATACGGATGACATGAATCTATGATGATGATGAAATGTGAATCATGCTAAGCAATGTAGGTGTGAAATGCATCCAATGTGGAATATCACAGGCATTGTGCATATAAAGATAGCATGAAGACAACATAAGATGAATGGAGTGTATATGTATGATCTGTGAAAATTCGATCGATCGAACTTTAAGTTCGATCGATCATAGAAATTTTCGATCGATCGAAGTGAAAAATGTTCAAAAGTTGGATCGATCGAAGTGAATTGGATCAATCCAACACTTGGATCGATCGAAGCATGAAAGTGCATAAGATTGGATCGATCGAAGATAGTGCAATGAAGTTCACTACTTCGATCGATCGAAGAACAAGTTCGATCGATCGAACTGTGCGAATGCCGAATTTGAAAAGTCACAGATCTGTGAGATCTAGAGCACGGGGCCCACACAAACGTGTTTGTGGGCCCATCTACATACCAAACAGCCCATCCTCAACATCCAAACACTCCCCAAATGCCAAATCAAATAAAAAATCCCCAATTTGGTTCGGCCGAATGCATGTGTGAATATGTATACCATAATCATGAAATTGGTGCTTCAAAATGGATGATTAATACACATACAACATAAATCAATATAGAAAATCATGAATCATGCATTGATTAAACTTTTAAATCAAGAAATGGCTCGCGATTTACCTCAAAACCGAGAGGGATGAGATGAGAGAGAGGGTGCGAAGCCGCGGTGAAAATAAGGCTCTACCTTGCCGGAATTGGCTCGCCGGAGGTGGGGAAGATGATTGGAATGGAGGTTGGCCGGATTGAGATGAGATTGAGAGAAGATGGAGACTAGGGTTTGGTTTCTTTGTGAAGTTGGATCGATCCAAAGTGATCGATCCAACTCGGTTATATTTTTAAAAACACGATATGCAGAGTTCGATCGATCGAAGATGGAGTTCGATCGATCGAACTTAGGTCTCCACTCTTAATGGCATTTTTTTTATTTTTTTATTTTTAATGAGATGTAAATTTCGATCGATCGAAGAAAGATTTCGATCGATCGAAGAGAATAAAGAATGTACAAGTTTAAGGGTTCAAGAGTTGATATGTGCTGGAACCTTGGATCGATCGAACTTGGAATTCGATCGATCGAACATGAAAAATTTTGAAAAGTCCCGAGAGCATGCA